TTTTCAAATTTAACATTTATTAGATAATTGTGGTAAACTAGTTAAAATTCAGGGGGGAAAGGTAAATAATAACTAGTTTCTACAAGGACTCGTCGAGCAATGAAATAAAATTGTTGCCGCATTTAGTCTAGCAGTATTTGCCTAGATTACACTCCCGTTCGTCTGCAACGATGAAGCAATACGATTTTGAAAAAAAAAGGTTATATCACTTTACAGAAAAAAACGGTTAATCGATCCTCTTCATATATTGTTCTCGTTATTTAGACTTGGCATTAAAACATGCTCGGTGATGATTCCACTGCTGGGTGTCACATGGCTTTTTGGTCTTTTGTTATCATCACACAAAGCTTTCGCCTACCTTTTCACCATTTTCAGCTCTACTCAGGTGAGCTTTTAATAAAAGTTAGTCTATAATTAAATTTTAGTAATCTGTTTACAAACTTAAATGCTCAAACTACTCTTTTACCTAAAAAAGACCCTTTTGGTTAGATGATATTGCCTATTCAAAATAATTTACCCAACAGCAGACAATCTTTATTGGTCTACAAGATATGCGACTTGCTTTAATTCATTCTTTCGCCACCTTTATTGTGGTTTCATCTCAAACGATCATACCGTTATCACCTTTATCACCCGGATTACAAAAAGTGTAATACTGATATAAGTATCTGTTTCAGGGAATCCTGATTTTCGTTCTTCATTGTGCGCGGAACAGCCAGGTAAGATGAATATCAAACCGAGGATGTACATAAGACGAATTGTAAATTTGCTAGACATTAATAAAGGTTTTGGTGGTGAACATTTGATATTTGGTCGCCTGTTCATCTGCAGATTAGAGAGCGATTGAAAAGTAAGACGAACATTACTTTCCCATCTGCTGTAGATCATGGAAATTCTGCGAATAGGGGCCCACGAGTTAATCCAAGAAATGCCGGCGAAATGTGGGCGGTAGAATTGCAGTCTTTCAAAGAATAGTGCCATACAGTATTCAGTAATTTAATTTAAACGACTTTAAGTGATACTGTTTTTCCATCTGTAAAAATGAAAAATCAACAAGGAAAAGCTCACAGGTTAATCCAAGTGATGTCGGTGATATGTGAGCAGTTGAATTGCAGTCTTAAAATAAGTTGGAATTTAAAAAAAAATTAGCTTAAATAACTGGATTCACAAGAGAGAAAATGAGAGTCGATTATCTAAAATCGTATCATACATTCAAGTCTCACTTGTTTAACACTAGTACACATTTTACTGTATTTCCTTTAAACCACTGTTTATTAATATAGATATATATATATATATATATGATTTAATATTGGTCCACATTTTGAGTGCAAAAGGTAACACTAAGCTACCTGTGAGAATACTAAATACGATCGTACTTTCGTAATAGCAGTGGTAAAAGTCAATTTTTAAATTTTTTGATTAATAAATTAATTAAATCAGCAGTTAAAATGATAAATAATTAAAAAAGAGTGAATTAACCACACCTGTTAGTAATCTGTTATATTTGTTCGCATGACGAGGCACATTGTACCCTGTCGAGTCACTTTTGACCACTTTGGATTAAAATCGGTGTATTGAGAAGCAATGAAACAAACTTCCACTGTCCCGTAAGGAGGACTGCCTCTGGGTTTTGGTCAATGCCCAGAGTAAACCAATACAGAGTGGAAGAGAAGGATCCGTCTTAATCACCTTCCCTTCGTTCTCTCCCCCCTAACCCCATCTCCCCAGGGGAAGATTCTAAGATGCCCAAGAAGTTCAACCACCCTCTTGAGTGAGTGTTTATGTTGCTCTGTTATGTTTTTGTCTGTTTTTTGGTTTGTTTCTTTAAATATGAAGCCATTGCCACGGTTGCCGGCGTGAATTCTAAGGAGGCACATGACACAAAATCTTCTGAGATGTTAAATAGTCCTTTCCACTGTGTGATTATAAGCCCGTTAGAGATAAGTTAACGCCCCTTTACGTGAGCCGCGCACGCGGAAATTCATAACCCTGACATCCCCACTTCCCCCCACCTTTCAAAAGGGGAAGGGAGGGAGGGAGGGGGCTCGGGAGACCTAGTTACACCCATCTGTTTTGTGTTCTCTCGTTGCATTAGGAAGAGAATAGATGAGATATCAGAGCTTTGTGGCGATTCTTAAAGGATATTTCTTCTGCAGATATAAGTACAGACATATATCGAGGAGCACGAAAACTTTTCATCACCATTGCTCATAATTATTGATGCAACGGAATATAGGTCAACACATCCGTCGTTGAGCAACAGAGATCGATACCTTTCACGTCTCATTTAAGCGAAATGACCCAGAGATGCTTCTTGTTATTCTCTCAATATAATGATAGTGTGATAATGAATGGTCTGCATAACCAATAATTCCAAACTAATGTATCCAAAATGAATTAAATTAATTAAAAGATGATATTTGAGTATTCATGGAGAAGAGCAGGTGCGAAAGGTAAAGTAACGGCAGAGAAAGTTAAGGTAGCGTCATCATTTAAGTT